TTTGAATAATTTTGTTTGATAATCATTAGCTTCAAAAGCATTGGGATCACGAAATTGTCATTAAATGCATTGGCATGCCAAAAGGTAGCTTAGATTGAAGTAGTTTTTCTTCCGAATTAACCCAAAATTGGTTTCGAAATCAAAATTCTATAGGTGCCGGTGTAATCGTGAGATCGACGAAACGCTGCTCTTGCAACTCGGTAAGTGTGGGTTTTAGGGGGATTGAGCGTGAATCTAAAAAGAAATTCGTGGTGCCGTAGGCAGTGACATAGGTCCAGACATGCTCATACCCTTGATAAAACAATATGTTAGACCAAGAACAACTATTTGTAGTGATGGGTGGGCTGCCTACCGCCATTTAAAACATCATGGTTACGAGCACCTAGTAATTAATCATTACTTTTGCAGACCCACACTTCCCACATATCCACACACAATATCGAAAGGGTCTTGCGGGATCTAAGGGAGTTTATAAACTGTATTGTATGAAAAAATATGAAATATGTACGGATTAGACGATGCTAACCAATGAAAAGTTCAGAAAATGACGTCAGTTCTCTCTGACTAATCAGAACTCTTTATTTCGAAAAGCCCTGCCCTCACCCACAAAAAAATGTTAAGTGTGTGTCTGGCTGCTGTCAAAGAAAGTATGTGTGAAAAAATATTATTTTGGAAGCCGGCTGAGTTTTGCAAATCGCGAAATACACCTACCCCTGGAAATACTACCACGTTGAGGAAGACGCATTATGGTGAAGCGTAATAACGGAGACGCGACGATATAAGATTTGTACAACTAACGTGTAACGAGAACAGGCAAAATCTACATATTTATTGCACGAATTACATTTCAAGTAATAAGCAAAATCATGGAATAAAAACCCTTGCTTCTAATAGGACAAAAATACACGCAGTATTAATACAAATTATTACTGAGTTGTCTATTGCAAACGACCACAGATGCTTAGATGATTGGGTGTGCCTTCACAGCGCGCGAGCTAAATCGAGCTAAAGCATTCGTAGTTACACGGGACGGTCAATAACTTTAAGCTGCCCGTCATGAAAGCCGCCACGACCTCCGCAGTATTTTGTGCTCAGGCAGAGATCAATAAATTCCATCTTACATTTTAAGACAAGTATAAGTATTGAACTATTACCATATTTGACGATAATCATCACTAAGATTTGCAGGTTGTGTTACTAATATGCATTCAAAGTTGTTTGAAAATAACATCCGTAAACAGCATGCCGCAACGATGGCGCGACTCGTAACTGTCAATAGCGCATTTTTTCTTTGGTTTGCTCCGCTTTGTACAGCTATTTGTTAACGCAATAAATCAATAAGATGCCGTTGGTGTTTAAGCAACAATTAATGAATCCTTATGCATAAATTTGATACGGTCATCTGGAAACTTTCAAAACG